AAAAATATTGTGAATCAAAAATGCTTATTTAGTTAAAAATCACTTAAAACTCATTTTGATGATTTAAATTAGCCTTTAGACGTAACGCATAAATAACTCGTTTTGTTTATTTACACGAATTTTCATTTAAAATGTTTTTATATGCCATACATTTCTCATGCCGTTGTGTGACATTAAACATAGCGTTTTATAAATTAAATTAAATGAAACAAAATACGCATTGAATCGGAAAATACGAGTGAAATAATTAAAACAAATTATGAATTCAAGACCATTGAGACGGCAAACATCAGAAAGAAATGCAAATTTCTATAATAATGGTCTCACTATTGAAATGTTTTCAAAAATTTCTATTTGTTTTAATTGCTTTCGTAAAAATCGGTGCAAGTTTTCAGTCTATGAATTCGCAGTCACTTTCACTAATACAGTATATTTGTTTGACTAGACTTTTGTTAAACAAAAACAATTTTGACATTACTTTACATTGTAAAGTTTACAAGCCATACAGTAGTGTTTATTAAATAGTATATTTTTGGAAATATTTTTACTATTAATTAAATCTATGAATTTTGTGAATTAAATCATCGAAAATCATTATTTACTCTGCGATTAAAATTGTTTTCCAATACCAGTGCTCATAATTGTATAATTAAAAGCACACATCACTTGAGAATTGATTTATTTATTTATGGTATGACTTCAGGCATTCTTATCCCTCTAAAAAACATTATTCTCAATACCTTTTGGCTTTCAATCATTGATTAAAATTTAATTCAGAATTTATATTTGTGTTGTATTTTGTAATACACTATTGAGATAAGAGTACGGAATATATACTGCACTATAATTCAGTGGAAACAGAAATGACAGAAATATAAGCGAGTGATAGATAGAAAGAGAGACTTGTTTTTGCGGATCTGAAACCAAATATATTTCTATTTTATTATAATAACAATTGTGTTGAATATAATCAAAATACATCTGGAGATGAGATATCGTGATAAGACAACAGATTGTTATATCAGTGCTATATTTATACAGATATTTGAAATTCAATATAATAGTAATTCAACTCATTTTTGATACTTTTAAGAGAGAGAGAGAGAGAGAGAGAGAGAGACCGAGAGATAAGACAATGTTTGCATCACGTATTCCGATGGCGAGCCATACATACTATTATCAGAATTATTAGTTAGAAATCCTGTTCTCCAAGAGTGGTGTTCCCTCTCAACTGGTGATGAATTTCCTGATAATAGGCGCTGTTTTGAGAAATCACCTCAACCTAAGTGCACAGCCATATCCCGCTCCGGATCATGGCCTGAGGCCAACATAACCCCCCTATCAGACACTTTTCACACTCACTATCGCTGTAATTAGGTTCTGATGAGAGGCCATCTCTATTCGCGCCGTACACTCCATTAACGCCTATATCTATAATGCATTTTTTGAAGCAAAAAATGCATACATATCTCAAACATCTTCCACTCCGAAGATTATTAGTTTGCAGCGAATTATAAAATAAAATAAGTCCTAAATATAATAAAATTTTTGTTGCCCCTCGTTATCATCAATCAGTTACAGCTATTGGCTGACGAATGCATTCTTCGGTTTATTCACTCCTTTGATGCAATAATAATAGCATTTATTGTGAGATCTGTTTTTGGAAAATCGCTTTTTTCTGTGTATGAAATTTTTTTATTTTTCATTTATCCAAACACATAGAAATGCAAACCAAACATAACTAGACTGAGAGATAGTGGAGTAATAGCTAGAAATCGGAGTCCAAGAACTCATCGGTTAATAAGCAGTTTTATGTATGACTTTGAGGGCTCATAGAGGGGTTGCTGGAGGGCCTGACTGTTTTTGGTCAACGATTTCTAGCGCTTATAAACCGATGATTTATTCGCATATTTGTTGTGAAATCGCTTCACTAATTAGAGAGTGTCTACGAAACAACATATTTGCCAACAAGTATTTTATGAATTATTTTCTTGAATGAACAAAAAATAAAATTTATATAACTTATTAATAACATCGAGATTCCACTTGACGGCTAATAGAGTGAAGAGTAAATTATCAGGAACAAACAAAACAAAACAAATTAAATTAAAGCTGAAAACTATTTTTTGAAAACTAAAATGTTTGCCGATTTGAAGATATGGGGCGTCGCTATTGATCTCGTTTTTAGTGGCAAAACAACGGCATTCGTAATACGGCTTATAATATATGGATGAGAGAGAGAGAGAGAGAGAGAGAGAGAGAGAGAGAGAGAGAGATGTGAAAAATATATTGCGGTGCAAAAGTTTAGTGAGAAGTGCCAACAAAACCGTCGGAGGGATTGTTAGCTCCGGTCGTCACGGTTTTGGCGATCCGTTTGACGTGTTTGACGCGCGATGTGTTTCGCCATGAATTTCACGCTTCTCTCTCACCTGCGCGCCGGCCCTCCCGAGACACCCATTTTCTGCATGTCTTACCAGTACTTACACTTAATTTTCGCAGTCATTTCTCTCCCCCGCTATGCGCTGCTTAACTGAGATGATAGGGCCCGGGCGCTGACGGTCTGACAGGCATTCACACCACTGGTGCCGTCAGAAGTGCTTTTTTGCTTAACGCCCGGCGCTTTTTTGCGGGTATAAAACGAGTTTTTGAATCGTCCGTCCACTCACCCCTCATATACTTAACTCCCATTCCTTCAGCACAAAAAAAACTTGTTAATGGAATGCCTTCTCCTTTATATTCAACTTTTTTTAACTGCATTTCTCTGTATATAATGTGTTCTTCTCTTTTGTTCAGAAAAAATATTGAGATAAAGAAAATGTGTGCAAAGAATTGGAAAACCAATTCAAACCAGTGCTCTCTCTCTCTCTCTCTCCCTCTCTCTCTCTCTCTCTCGCCTCTCACTCACTCACTGTTTGGACTGTAATTTGCCATTAAATATACATACATTATATGCACATCTCGGCCCTCATTTAGATAATAAGCACCAGTTATTTCCTCTTCTCTTCTCTCACTCTCTTGTCTAATATATTATATAATTTTTTTTAATGTTTGACTTTTTTATAATGAGATTCCTCTACATTCTAGTTGTGTGTATGTGTTAAATAAAGTGCCAGAACTGAGTGCCAGATATAATCCTCGAGTACTTGTTTTAGTCCTCTCTCTCTCTCTCTCTCTCTCTCTCTCTCTCTCTCGGCGTTCGTGTAGTACTTATTCCCGTGAGAAGAGTGATGTGATGTAAGCCCTGAACCGACTTTTTCTTGTTGTTCACTCCAAACACTTGAATGCCATGTCTTTGTCGGCCCTTTCGGCTCGTTTAGTGCCGAAAACACATCAGAAGGCAAAACATTACATCGAAAAACATTAAACCATTTTCCGAGTGATTTCCTTATCATAAAACATACACTAATTACCGTCACATCTATCTAATTATTGGACAAATTTTTAATTAAAAGTTCAATCTATCATTATATGGCAATTCACTGTTCAATATAACGATCAATGAGTCATATAACATGACTCTTATATCCAAACAAATTAATTAATTAAATTAAAGTTGTATTAAGGTTTATATTAATTACGAAAATAAATTACTACATCCAAACAAGTAATATATATTTTTTGAGCATTTTATTCATCAAATCCTTTCAATAAAGTTTGACAACATTTTACAAACAGAGAAATAATTGTTCAGTTTTTAATATATTTTAAATAATAAATCGTTAATAATATAATTTATATACAAATTATAACTATATTTATATATGTATTTACTCTAATATTTGTGTTGAATTTGTTTTAATATTCCTATGAAAATGAATTTTCCATTGATTTCTGTGTGGAGCTCTTAATACATTGAATATAAGTATCGAAAAAAACTTTTTTAAATTGATTAAATACTTAATATAATAAAATATAAAATAACATATTTACATAAAAGTGTTACTATAAATAAAAGCAAATGATAAAGCTGATTAGAAACTTTTTGTGTGAACTGTATATGTCCAGTGTTTAACCGTGATGTTTAAAAGTAAATGAACGTGATGATTTCATGTTTTAAATATAATGCTTTTATAATATTATATTTACAAAAAGTTTTTGGTCTAACTATTTAAGCGATAATAAAGTTTTTGGTCGATTGAAAGTTTGTGTTTACAAAGTTTGTTAATAAGATGTGTTTTTGATGTATGAGTTGTGTGTATGACCAGAGAAAAGCACATCCAGTCGTGTCTAACCATTCTCTATGAGTGATATAACAGAGAAAGAGCACATCCTATCAGCTATACAGCGCCGACACCTACTTTTATATAAGACCAGTACATGGAGTTCCATCTGTTTATAGTCTATGAAAATAGTATAACAATTGAGAGGCACATCTGGCTTTGGAAGAAGAGTTTTTGGATATTCTTGAAGAATATTCTTCGAGAATCGGAGTTAGCGTTGATTTTACTGTATTTAACTCCAAGAATCGGTTGATTAGAGATTTGATTAGATTTGTTCAAAGCGTATATATTATAACAAATTTATTATTATTATTGTCTCTATTATTATGTGTGTTGTAATGAAATCTTCACTTATTGTAAGAATAAGATTTGATTACAAATGATATCACAATTAACGCCATCGAGAGTACTGTCAGCACAAGAGATTCGGTGGCCATTGAGGCCGACGACGCTCTCATGACTTTCACGTGAAAGGGATCTGAAAAAAAGTCCATAAATTAGTGTCATTTCACACCAAATCAATTTACACTGAAGTATATCTGTTTTAAAAATAACAGTACATTCATTATCTTAAAAAATAACTGACAATTATTAATGGTAATGATTTTAAATTCTTTAAAATCTTTAAAAAGGGTGAGAAAAATATACAGGAATTTGACATTTATTTAGTCAAAATTCATAAGCAGTTTAAAGGGGTAAAGAATATTGTATTTTTTGGTGGCTTAAAGTTTTTACAGTAAATTTGATACTGGATTTGATCTTTTCTATAAAAAATTAAACTTTTTATACGGTATGAAAAAAACGGTTTAATAACACAAAGAATCGAAAATATGTTCACTTCATTCAAATGGGAGATAAAAGTGTGCAGACGTACAGAATATTCTTTATAAAAATCTCTGGCAAACAAAAAGCAAAATCAATAATACTTTTTCGTATCAAAAGCTTTAAACAAAAATCAATACACAGCCAAAGTATGGCACAAACAATGGCATCACTGGCTTCTCTCACACTTATTAATGAATGTTTAGATCAGATATACTTTTTTGGCAGTTGTGCTCAGACTGCATAACCAGTCGGTGTGTGTGTTTGTGTGTATAACCCCATCCATACATACCTTCTTGGCTCCTGAACTGATAAAACGCCTCAAAGCCCGTGCCGTCAAACCTGTCATTTGTCTTGAATGTCACCCGAAAGAAGTCTCCCTCGGATTCAACGGTTTTGGGCTGTTTTAGACCGCAATGTCGCGACAGTTTGCGGTCGACTGTCCTATAGTTGGAGAACTCGACGTAATCGCTGGCCGTCTCTGTCGTGCAACTGATGTGTGAAATAGAATTTCAATCAATAAATACATCGAGAGTTTAGTTAATATGTAATAAAAAAAATAATATTTATAATGAGATTCTTATATATAATAAAAAAAATTATTGTATAAATTAGCGAAACGCTAATACGTGTGATAAATAGTATACATAATTATAATAATAAGAAGTGAAATAAATTTTAATCATAATTTGCATCATATATGGTGCGAGCGACGACTGAGTGCTTATTAAATCAAGTATTCAAACATTTTATGAAAGATAAGCACTTTTTCCTGAAGTATGGCTCGAAAACGAGCGGATGTGTCGAAATGTATGCTAACTATAGCTGAAGTTTTGTGTAAATTAATTTTGCGCTATAAATCAAGTATTCAAACATTTTATGAAAGATAAGCACTTTTTCCTGAAGTATGGCTCGAAAACGAGCGGATGTGTCGAAATGTATGCTAACTATAGCTGAAGTTTTGTGTAAATTAATTTTGCGCTATTTTTCAGTGGGATATTATATAACATGTTTGCAATCCTATAGCCCATTGTATGGCAACAAATAGAGATAAGAATTTACGAGACCATTAGCTTTTGAATTATCATAACTAGAAATGATTGTGAATTAAATGCAGCGCGAAAACAGAGGGAAACAATTTATTTTGTGTGAAATTTTAAAGCTAAAAATATTTTTTTCCAACATTTGCTACGAAAAAAGCGATCAACAGTTTCGAGAAATTCTGGCGAAAAAAATTTGAGTTGATTTTAATGATAGGAGAAAACATTGTAACAGAGTTTTCATTTGTCAGAGAAATGGTGTGTTTTTTGTTTGTCTGAAATTGTTTTGATAACAAATGGAAAATCGGATTATAAAGAGATAAGACAATTAATTTCACATTTTTGTGTGTGTTTTATAGACAACATCATAGAAAGCAAATTAAATATTATTAAAATTAAGTTTAGAGTAAATATACTATCGATTCTTTAGTAAAATAAAATAAAGTCATAATAACTTTCTCTATATTGTATTATAATTAATTATAATTCATTGAAAATTTTAATTCATTAAACAAGTGCCTATAAAAATAATCGTAAAATATTTTATTATAGACATTAAGTCCTAATCCTTTGTAATTATCACAAAATGTGAGACAATATAATCTGTCGGTAATATTTGGGCTACAATTGAGTCGCAAAGTGTTTGCAGTGTTTATTGTATGAATGAAAATCAAATGTAATTTCAGGAAATAAATAATTAAAGATATAATTTCGCTTTTAATGAGATTCACGATATACTATATTAATACCTATTAGATTATATGTCGGCAACAAAGTTTGTTATTTGCGATAATTGTTTAGTAAATGTAATCAATGGTATATACGTAAAGAGTATAGCCGTGTACTTTTCAAACATACATTCAATCAATCAATTTAATGTTTAATTAATGAAAAACATAGTATATATCGTATATGTATATACCGTATTTATATCGGATTCCTAGTTAAACGAATCTAAAACTTAACCGAAAAATATATCACTTAATTAAATACATAACAAATATACAGTATATAATCTATACTGTAGAAATATATTATACAGAAAAATATATACTGTATTTCTGGCAAAAATATAATGAGACAAAAATCTAATTTTAAAAATTCCTTTTAAACAGTTTAGTTGCTTTGGTATTACATTTCATATCCAATCATTTGTAGTCAATTCTCGCACAGTTTTAAGCTGAACACAATAAGTGCAAAATACAAAAATATAAAAAAGTTTCCATTTTCTATGGAAAATAACAGAAAGTTACGACTTTTATTGGATTAAAGTCTATGGGGAAGTGTTTTCTCTAATTTTAAGTTAAAAATAGATTAAACTCGAGTCAAACATTAAGCATATAATAGGAGTTGGAGTAATAAAAAAGCGAGAAAACATATAAGAATATTCTGTGCTATATATACAAGAATTGAATTCTGAATGATTGAGCAAAAGTCTGGGCATAAAAGTTGGCAAAAATCAATATTTTTCGGGCTAACCATTAGTTCCGTTAGAATTAATACGGCATTCATTCGTATAACTTATACAACACTTTACAATATAATAGGAATTATATATAAATATTTTCTCTCTTAAATGTTTTAAAGGCTATAATAAGTTAATTCCCCACGAATTGCCCTTTTTATTATGTATTAGTTTGAATGTGTTTTTGTGTGTGTATTTATGTTACAGTCATTGTATGTTAATATGCAATTCAATTGCTAGTGTATATTAAGTATATTTCCCTATTCTCGACAGTAATTTCCATTCAATTCCTTATCACTGACTCAAAAACGTGAAGTCATATTAACATTATAGTCGGGAATCAATTGACGATGCGATCGACTCATAAAAAAACTTCATTGATGTTTATATAAAACAGTTGTAAAACATGAATAACAGGGACAAATGTAGAGTGAATTTTGTTATCAAAACACACGACACTTGGAGTGGAATTTTCAAAAGACATTTGTGTCATAAGAATGTGAGAATAAATTTAATTTTTGCGCTGATTTTCACTCGAAGAATGTTTTATATTTTGCACCTTAAAAATGATTCATAATTCCTGACATAATTCAAAATTCATGAAATATATTACATATAACACACACACACAGAGTGCTTATAAACTATATTAATACAAAATGCCAAATACTGTATGTATTAATACATTAAACATTATATAATATTTTGGTACTAAAAACAGCTATTTTGTGTAAAAATATAAAAAAGCAAATTAAACCAAAAAACAACCAAAAACTAAATGACAGTAAAAATCATTTAAACATATTATTTGTTATCTTAGGGCTAAATGGAGGGCGAAATGTCACAAGAGATAAGAGATGACGAGAAAAAAGCACAAATAAAATACTAATAATATCTGCGATAACAGTGATAATAGAGATTGGATGGGAAAGGGATGGGACGACATAACGTGAATGTTAATTGCGTGGATGACTTACGGCGTGACCCCTTCCACATCAAAGTAAGCGAAAGTGATGTAAACTTTTTGCGATGCGTTTCCATAGAAAAAGTAATGGCATTCAGTGTCGCGCGGATAGAGACCTATTAGGATAGCGCCAGTAGTCGAGAGGTGATGGACAGTCGTGTTGTATAAACAGTGAGAGAAAATAGTGAGTAAGAAATTCAATTATGGCACTAAATATACATTTATATAAATATTATATCAATGTTAATGTCAGAGACTAGGCATACAAACCGGGATAGTTTGGCGATGTGAACGACCCGTTCGTCCTTTCGGTGCTATTGAAGACAAATCCGCAAACTATTGAGTGAAATGACAAATGCAGTCAATGTGTGCCGCAATTCACGTAAGATTTATTGATAAAATAAATTTCGATATAAAAAAATTTTTCCGTATATATTATATGTTTATTCACTCATTGAGTAATATAGCGGTTAAACAGTGAATATATTTAAGGCCGCGAAAGTGTATTAATAATATAAAAGGGAAAAAAGTTTTTTTATTTGAATACCTGATTGCGAGTCCTGTTTTCCAGTGCTTATACCGAAATCTGTAATAATAAACATATTTTACATTAGAGGCTGGAGTGACAGACACTATAAATCATTTGCGAGCGAAAAAAATACATATACTTTAATTCAAAGAGTAATGGATAGCAAAAAGAGAAATGCATACAAATAGATATATCTATTCATGTTTTAGGGATTCGCCAAAAAATATTGTTTATTAATACCGGAGCTTTAAGATAGCGAGTGCTAGTGGTATGCATATTATAGTATATTTATGGCAATGGGTTTGGGTTAGGGGTTGATGAATGACTTTATCATATAATTTATATAAATTAATGGATAAGTTTAGAGTTGATTTGCAAACACTAAAGAAGTGAATTTATTGACTAGAAAATGTATGTTGGATATATAAAATGTATATAAAAACTATTTTGTTATCACATGTAGACTGGAAACAAAAAGTTGTCTTAAAATTCTTGATATATTTCTTAGCCATTCAGCGAAAGCACCGATAATTACGTTTGCATTTAATTTGTAATACAATTAAATTGATTTGGAAATAAAACTAGATTTTAGTGCCTTTTCGTGTTTTAATTTATTTAATATCGATTACACGACTGTGTGTTTGTATTGGCGCTAAGACTTTGGGAGTGAAGACTTNAAGCACCGATAATTACGTTTGCATTTAATTTGTAATACAATTAAATTGATTTGGAAATAAAACTAGATTTTAGTGCCTTTTCGTGTTTTAATTTATTTAATATCGATTACACGACTGTGTGTTTGTATTGGCGCTAAGACTTTGGGAGTGAAGACTTGGGATTGGGATTCAGTTTTTGATTAATGGAAACATTGATTGAATGAAGAATTAGTGTATAAAAAGAGTATAGAGTGAGAGATATCCGTTGAATACAAATATTTAGGTAACGAATACACAGACTTTGTTTCACTAACTATACAAATGTAATCAACAACAAAAAGTATTTGTGATTTTTGTGCAGACAATACACACATGTATATCGATATATAGGAATATTCTCCAATGAATTCCATGTTTTTAGTTTCAATTTCAAGAACAGTGTAAAAATTAAATTTCCTGACAAAATATACAGTGTGTTTTTATCATGGACTTTAATTAAGTAATTTATTTTAATTACTCAATAAAACATTAATTTTATTGTACGTTAATTACCATTTGTTAAGCAAACAATTCCGTATACGAGGGTTGTAATACAATTAAATTGATTTGGAAATAAAACTAGATTTTAGTGCCTTTTCGTGTTTTAATTTATTTAATATCGATTACACGACTGTGTGTTTGTATTGGCGCTAAGACTTTGGGAGTGAAGACTTTGGATTGGGATTCAGTTTTTGATTAATGGAAACATTGATTGAATGAAGAATTAGTGTCTAAAAAGAGTATAGAGTGAGAGATATCCGTTGAATACAAATATTAGGTAACGAATACACAGACTTTGTTTCACTAACTATACAAATGTAATCAACGACAAAAAGTATTTGTGATTTTTGTGCAGACAATACACACATATATCGATATATAGGAATATTCTCCAATGAATTCCATGTTTTTTAGTTTCAATTTCAAGAACAGTGTAAAAATTAAATTTCCCCTGTTTTATATGTCACACAAAAATAGTACCTGAAATTAATTCATTAAATAAAATTAATGAGTTATTTTGTAATTAAAATAACATGCAATTAATGGTAAACAATTCGTTTGTTAAGGCATATGCTCCCAAAAAAGCATTAGAGTTGCAAATGTGACCAAAATATAGTAATCATTAATTATTATTAGGCAAAACAAACAGTTTTATTTAAATGTTATTCAATCAAAACAAATGCTTTGATGAGTTGAGAGAAAGATATGACTTTTCACTTTAATAATCATATCCTTCCTAAACAAACAAAAGTTTAAATTATATTACATTTAATAGTCTTATTTCGGAGAGATGTATGAAATAAGTTAGCATTCAATCTAATCGATTAAATATTTTTTGTGGATATTTATCAGTAATATTCCGAGACTCGACTCATAACTTATATCTACATAACATTATATATATACTGGGAATACAAGTCTGGAAGTCTGGAAGTGATACCAAAATGAATGATTGAGCGATACATTAGTCGCTAATCCAATGCATCCTTAGTATTGGCAAAAATAGGCCTAAAAAAGTGAGCGGAAAATAGCAGTGAATTTGGAGCACATCTTCCTCTAAATCAATGTCACGGCAAGTGATTCCAGAAATTCTTTTAAACCGATTGTCCGCTAATTTTTTTCGCTCCTAAACCATAAGAGGCCTTAAATCACACATCAATTAGTCTCCACTAAACTAACCCACAAGACCTCAGGCGTCACTTATTATTGACTTTGAATTTGTAGCTAATTTTAAGAAATCAATTATAATTTATTGATTACTCTAAAACGCTAAAAATAAATCACATGTAATGTTTAGATTTACTAGATGCTGTGATTTACTAGTTTAAAATAATCCTAATAGCAAATTGCTGTTCACTTGTTTTTATCTAAATATTTAAAATTATAGTTTTATGTCTAAGTTATTATAATACTATAAGTATAGTATAAAAAGTCAGTATAATCAAATGGTTTTCCAAATACAATGTTTTACGGCAAATATTGATAGAAAAATACTTAATGCAAACATAATAGCACCATGGAAATTTGCACAATAAATGCGAATCTTATTTGCTATCAAACAAGTCATCTGAGATAACGATAAGGATATACATTCAACAATAAAAATAAAGTCGTTTGTGATAAATGTTTAACATTTGCAAAAGACATGCAAATGTAAGTTATTTTCGTTATGACTATCATTAGAGCGCCGACCGTTTGTGCCACGGAATCGTAATACGAAGTTAATATCGGAAAAACACCTTAAATTGACTACATATGCGATGGTGCGCCTACATCGCAAAAGTCAGATAATTATGATTTATTAGCCAACAAAACAATATGAAAGTGCAAACTACGAGCATTAATCAGAATATTAAATACTATCCAATAATTTTAATGAGAATTCTCATTGAAATCGTTGTGAATAGGAATATTCTGGTCGAGCAAAAAAGTAAATAATTTATGGCCCAGAATAAATAATTAGTTTCACAATATACAAAGTCATTGAGATAAATGTAAAATAAAAATTTATATGCCACACAATTTCATTATAATGATTATTATACACACAAAAGGTATAAAAATTAATTAATTGTGTGTTTCGACGGAGAAATTCCTATTGTTTAGCGTATTATATACACTACGGCTATGTTTGGCCTAATTATGGGTAAGATTTCAATTGAATTTACAGTTAACCCACTCATTGGCATCGGATTTAATAGCCTTTGGGGTGCACCGAGAATTGCGATGAGAATAATATTCTGTGTTATTGTTAATGAGATTCTTGTAAATGCTTTTTAGTGTCTCAACTGTTTCTCTCTCTCTCTTTATCTTTATATTATATTCTCACCGAAAGACTGAACAAAAATATTTTCCACTTCTCGGAGGAAAAGTAATCTTAACATTCAATTTGGTATAAATTTAAGCCATAAATTTCTCTCACTCTCTCTCTCTCTTATGCAGTAATTTTAGTATTTTTTGGTTATAATCGCAGCATTTGAATGATAAAAGTCTTTTATGAATAGACGCCCAAAGCTTTAAATATAACTTAATATATAGCGAAAATTTCCAAACATTTTTGCCATAAGTATCTCTATTTTCATACTTCATATTAAAAGCCTTAATGCGATATAAAAGTCTCAAATTATCATTACTTATAAAGTTTTTTATCTTGTCTGTCATCTCGATTCTCATTTAACATATTTTCCTAATTCAATGCAAATGTTTTTTCCCTTTATAAGTTATATAATTAATAAAAATATTTTTAAACATTTAATATTAAGTGAACACAAAATGTAATTTGAATAAACGTAATTTCGGTATTAAATAAAGTCAAAATACATTTTCATGAACACAAAATTAAATCAATAAAACATTTTCTAAACAAAATCAAAACTAATTATTTGTATAGTATTAGTGCCCTGACAACTAGGGTATTAGATTTCAAGATATATTTATCTCAGATAAATGGTTGTGAAATATTATTAATAAAACTTAAAATGAGTTTTTTGTGTTTGCGCCAAATGATGCGAAAACTACAGATTTAATAGAAACTTAATCTCACGTATTAAAGGGAGTTTAGTTTTAAGTCCAAAAACAATCCTTTAAGTTACAAAAAATAGTATCTCCTCGTAAGCGATGAATAAAAATTATTTTTCAATTTTTTTACCCGGAATTAGCGAACCGATTGATACGAAATATATATTAAATGCTGTTTACATATATTCATGTGTAAAAATTTGGTTATAAATGGAAACTAATTAAATATTATACGAAAACAAATGCCAATCAATGGATTCCGTGTTAAAACCGGTGATTAATGTCACGAATATATGATTATGTGATTAAAAGTTATATATATATTCTGATCCAACATTTGGTGACCAAAAAATGTTAATTCACTTTTCAGTGTTTGTGTTATCCTATGCAAGAAAATGCAAATTCAGACGAATATATATTTAATTAGAAACCATTGAAGACATGGAAACCAATTAATCTTCCCTTTTGTGGCGAATATATAACACAAAAAAAATTTACACAAAAACTTATATAATTAGATAAAAATACTGAATGAATGGCGAAGAATCTGTTTCAAAAAGTATAATGATTAAAAGTTTTTTTTGTTTTTACTCCGTATTTATCGTAAAACTTTGGTTTCCCGTATACATTAGATACCGGAGCCCAACATACAATAGCTAAGCATAAAAGTTAAATTGAATTAAATTGCGAGCCATAATTGGTTTGGTTGTAAAAAACACAACATCTCTCCGGCACTGGTGTTCAGATGTCTAATATATTTCTCAACAAAATATTTTTGTGTTGTTAATGTTATTTAAGTTTGTTTCCTATTATACGGGGTTAAGGCATGAGTGGAAAGAAAGTTGCCTTAATTTTCATGTGTTGCCAAACATCAAGAGTGATTAAACTGCACATGAAATTCATGGATAGTTAGAGTCGTAAGAGTTTTTTCCTTACAATTTGTGTATAGAATAGTATAATAGTATAGAGAAAAAAGGGAAGAGAGAGAGAGAGAGAGAGAGAGAGACGATAAAATGTAATTCTCAGTATATACGAGTGCAGGGCATTTGGCATTTGCCTGATAACAGTTGTCTATTATATAAGTTTGGCGATAGTGATAGGAAAGAGCACCGACTGATGAGCACAAGGGCCACCACTATATGTACAATCATTTTCCGTGTCACTAATGATAGAGAGAAGGCATCGACGAGAGTCATCGATATATACTTTATACATATATATCAATACACAAACACTTCTGAATTGAATCAACACTTAAATTGATATTTTGGGCAAATATCGCCACACGAATGTCTATTATTCATTGTATTCAAGAATATATTACATAATAAAAATGACAAATAAATAAATTCTCATTTTATGGCATAACTATAAAATGATTTTCATTAAATTCGCTCTCATATATACACTGTATGTACTGCTATTGTAAATTAAGTTAGTTTACTGAACGGTTTAAGTGGCTTTTAAATTACTGTTAATAAAGTGATCTTTCTTTCTATACATTTGTATGTCTCATAATATATATATACAGATAAGGGTTGTTGTGTTCAGTAATGATTGGCTGACAAGAGACAGACAACTGTATATCGGCGTTGACCCGACTGTAGGTGCCGTCGGAGCGTAAAGATTAAGTCCTAAACTCATGTTCACTAATGTCTAGTATTTCTACAAATTATATTTATATAACCACTTCTGAGTCCCTGATAAGTAGTACAGCCATTGTGTGTGTGAAGGAGTAGTAGTGGTAGTGGTGGTGGTGGCAGAGGAATAGGACTTTGTTTTCAATCTATTATTCAGTGGATTAATAATTTATATCCATATCTGCGCTGAAACTGATAGCAAAACTTTATATTCATTGTCGACGACAACGGAATAGCAGTCAAACACACATTAATGACCGCCTAATGGCTGAGTAGTGCTCTGATGAGCCCTTTCCACACAATGGCCAACACATCCACTAAATTAAGACAAACTCTCTCTCTCTCTCTCTCTCTTTCTTTCTTTCTTTCTCTCTCTCTCTCTCTCCCCTTATCGCTTGATTGCATATTATACTCATTTCGGTTATTTTAATTTAAAGCCCATAATGATAGGCCATATATTTAGCTACAAATAACGGGACATGCAATTTTAATTTTGTTAAAAACTCAGCAAATGACTGATTAATCTCGCAAAATGTATTTCATTGTGTAATAAATAATGAATTATTAGTTTTTATAAACCAATAGATGGATAAAATATATAAAAGTAATGCTACGAGGAAAAAAAATACTATGGGATAAACATAATATAAAAACCCATAAATTATGATTGAAGTTATCTCATCGGCAAATGTCTTAATTATTATTCATTTGTGTCGTTAGAGGACTTATATTTATAGACAGCGTTTGATTATCGATAGCATAGTCGTACTATTCTGTCCATTAAATTAATTCCCATTTAATGGCCCAAACATATACTTCGTAAGAGTTTTTTTTCCGAGTATTAACCCATAAATTAGACATAATTTCCTAATATTCTTGAGAACAAAAACACACGAAACGGATAGAGAATAGACACACAAAAACAAGATATAATATTGCGTCCATAAAATACCGTAAATAAATCTAAATTTAAATTGACTCGGGGATAGATAGGGTAGATAAGAGGGGCTGGTATGTTAACAAAAAATGCGTGACTTACTCGTGACAAATCGATATATGGCCCGAAACCCCTTGACATAGTCAGTCGAGTGCATGCTTTTGAATTCGGCGCTCAGGGACGGCCCGTTTGACATGAGCTGCGGCGGCAGATCGTTGCCGCAGAAGTTGTCCACCCGTTCCTTCTGGCCGTTGATTGTGATGAACACCATCACTATGTCGGCCGCATCGCAACTATCATCATAAGAAATATATTACAGATTATTCAGTCAATACAATCATAATAACAACACTAGTGACTACAGCACACAGAATATTCTGTGTGTATTATGTCTCGCATAATGTGTACAGAATATTCATAACGGAATCCATAATTTAGAGATTCTTTGTTAACCTTTTCATTGTTCAGTGGATATTATGGAGAAATGAGTTGCAGTTTTAATATAATGAGCATAAAAACTATACAAATACTATGATATATAATGGTATTCTTCTCGGAGGACATGCAAAACATTATTATTATTTCACTCTTTTATTTAGACTTTATTTTAGGACTTTTTTATACGTTCAGTGAATGCCTTTTCAATACCATTTGCATTCGCATCGTATATAATGTTATTATCTCAAAGACCAGTAACTCGTATGCAAATTATACAGCGTTTTAATGTTTCACTACATAATAGTCTTAATATGCTTTCGATTATCTTATTTCCTATTCTTTTGCTTAATTTTACTTCTTTTCATGTAATCATAAGAATAATGTCTTTTTTGTTTAAACAATTGCTGACAAAAACGAGAATATTCTCTATGCGAGTGAATATAACGAGAATATATTGAAAAATATTATTTTCAACTTTCATTGTGTAATTATATTTATTTTGAATATATATAATGTTGCTATTATATTCAATTTTACGATTGAAATTGATAACAAATATAGTTTATAACATACTTTTTAAACTCAATTTAGGGTTTAAATAAAATAATAGCCTTTTTTCGTACATTAGACACAAATGGAGTATAAACTCCAGAAACCATTAGACAAATCAAAAGAAATATCGCATGAGATGTAAAGTTTTAAACATTTCGTATTAATGATCAGAAAAATGTTTTGTGATTATTGATACAAAATATAAAAGTTTATATATTTTAACATCAATCTATTTGTTATGAAAAGTAGAAATTGAAAAATAAAGTATTAAAAACAAATTTAATAAATTTAAATACGTGTCCATTAATTATATTTTGACACAAAAGCCTTGCGAGTTGGGTAATCCAGGCAATTTATCATACATGGAAAGTATATATATATATAATATTAGGCAAAAATACTATATATTTTCATTCCTATTAAACACTTATGTTTTAAGCGTGTCTTTAAAATATATGATATAATATGAAACTCGCGTATAAAATATCAAAATTTGTTTCAATTGACTGAACGTTACGGCGAGTACTTACAAAATAATATATAAAAAATACTACAAAAATATACTAAAACATATTTCTCAGGCTAAACAACATTTCGATACATTATTAGATTTCTGCTCATGGATTGTGTTGAGAGTGACGGACAGACGGACACAGAAGTGGAGGAAAGGGATGAGAGGGACGACACTCACGACTCGCAACCCATTGTCACCGATAAGACATCCGATGGCGACGACAGTGAACGCAATGACCGCCCGTTTGTTTGCTTTGAACCCAATTGTGGCAAACGATTCACTCGGAAGTGGACTCTCAATGACCACAAGATTTGTGTCCATTTAAAGCTTAAGAGATTTGATTGTAATGTCGAGAGATGTGATCAACGGTTTGCACAAAAGAGGTATTTAATTGAACACAAAAGGGTCCACTCGGGAGAGAAACCCTACGCCTGCGATGTCATGGATTGCGACAAACGATTCGCACAGAAATCCCATTTAAATGAACACAAAAATAGCGTTCATTTGAAAAACAAACCATTCATTTGTGATGTCAATGATTGCGAGCAACGATTTGCATGCAATTCAAGTCTACAGCGACACCGAAATAGTGTTCACTTAAAACACAAGAGATTTGTTTGCGATGAAGAGAATTGCGGACAAAAATTGAGCGAAAAGTCTCACCTAAACGATCACAAACTGATCCATTCGGGAGGGAAGCCATACGTTTGTAATGTCGATGATTGTGGTAAAAGATTTCGACAGAAATCACATCTAAATCGACACAAAACTCTTCATTCATGATTCAAACCATATGTTTGCGATGAAATCAATTGCAATAAAAGTTTCAGAAATAACTCGTATCTCAATCCAACACAAGTGCATACATTTGAATGCAAATAAATAATTGATTTCTTGATTACAAAAAAAATGTGTAATTTATAAAAATATAGTTGAAATACCTTTAGATATGAGATTAATTATAACTTTAATAAATGTTTTAGTATCTTATAATTGAAATAATTAGCTATCACAATTCTTACAACATAATGTCTACCCACCACATCATATAAAAACTAATTGTTAGAGAGCTACCCTTTAAGGAATATTCTCTAAAAGTAGCTAGTTAAGATAGTTATTTAATATATAATAAATAAATGCCATAAGTTTGTATAAAACTGATATTCATTATAAAATATAAATTAAAATAAGTGTTGAATAACTTTCAATGACTTCACTCCATGACCTCCAGTTCCCCTCTCTCTTAGCGCCTGTCAATTCACTCCAATATATAGATGTAATGATTACGTGTAATAGTCAATGAAATTGGATCCAGTTCATTGATATGTAGCATACAATAGTAATATGAATAAAATGATACATAATAATATTCATGAGGTGTATGACAGCGTCATAACATAATTAACACAAATTTTTATCAGCATTTGTTGATTAAAAACTAATTTTAAGAAAATATTTGAAAATAAAAATTCATAAAATATTCAACAATGCATTCAAAAACTAATATAAAAGTAACAAATCTCTACAAATAACAGACACTCACCCCAATACCTACAGTTCCCGCACATACAACCACAGACATGGCTGAAAATCAGGAGTCTATATGTCAGGTATGTTACTTACCGGGCCGAGCAACCGGTGCTCCAGTTGTGCCACTGCGCTAACGAGGCCTATCACTGGCACTACGAGTGCTTCTGTCAAAACATAATGAGGACGCTGTATATGAAAGTCCATTTAATGCTGAGTCCGAATATGTAATTTATATTGTCCTGTTACCTCGGGTTCGGCCGCAGTGACCATTTTATCGGACAATTTTTTATATAAAATGTCAACATGTGATATATCAGTTTTATAGAGAATTTTACGAGGAATACGATGGTATTAATTAAATTAATAAATAATTTCATTTTCGGTAAGAAATTGTCAGATTATTTCTTTAAAATGTTTAAAATCGCGTTATAGTTGTTAAATTTTAAGGTTTCACAATTTTGACTTATATATTCAAGGTCCTTGTAAAATTCTCTTTAAAATTTATGTATCACATGTTTATATATATTATGATAAAATAAACCGATAAAAGTGGTCACTCGGGCCGAACCCGAAGTTCCAGGACAAAGTAAATAATATTTTCAGACTTCGTATGGATCGTACATTTATATTATAATGTAAAAGCACAATTGCCAGCTCAGCAAAAATAACCTTATTTAGCCACAATGGCCACTTTTATCGGTTTATTTTATCATTATAAAAATAAACATGTTATATATCATTTTTATAGAGAATCTTCCAAGGACCTTGAATATATAAGTAACAATTGTGAAACCTTAAAATTTAACAAATATAACGCGATTTTAAAGAGTTTAAAGCAATAATCTGACCATTTTTGGCCGAAAATGACATTATTTATTAATCTAATTAATACCATCGTATTCTGCGTAAAATTCTCTATAAAACTGATATATCACATGTTGACATTTTATATAAAAAATTCCCAGATAAAAGTGGTCACTGCGGCCGAACCCGAGGTAACAGGACAATATAAATTACATATTCGGACTCAGCATTGAATGGACTTTCATATCCAATCAAAAAATCCCGATTGCCAGCTACTTGTTGGTCCTGAACACTGGGAGCAATCAATACTCTGATCGCATTGACCATTACAATCACACGGAAGTGGGCAAGGGGCTATTAATAAAAGCAAACAAAACATTCTAAGTTATTGACATGTTTACATACCTTGAGCATAGACTGCTATATTATGATATACCGTGAACATCATAAATACCAGATTTCGAAAAAAGTTTTGTCCATAAGATTTGACTACTAAAATGCGGGTTATTGCTAAACTATTTAAGTTATCAAATTTATATTTAAACCTTAATTATGGTTTTTGGTCTTACATATTCTNTTCTTTTGTTTAATGGCATAAAGCAGTCTCATACAATTACACAATTCAATTTATGTATCAGATTTCGAAAAAAGTTTTGTCCATAAGATTTGACTACTATAATGCGGGTTATTGCTAAACTATTTAAGTTATCAAATTTATATTTAAACCTTAACTATGGTTTTTGGTCTTACATATTCTCCCGAAGAGAGTACTAGTTTAGAGCACCGGTAGGTCGGCACAGGTAGGTTATCTGTACAGCAAAAAGTATAAGTCGTAGAGAGACAATCAGCACATCGTTGGAAAGAACATGAAAAATGATCGAACACCTCTATTAGGATTTCGCAGGTAACATCCTCATTGAAGGNCAGGCACTCCTGTATGGCCTGAAATGGAGATCAATCTGAAGAAATGGGTGGTCTCTGAACGACAACAGAGCCGAAGTGTTCGCACGTTTGATATCATATTAAAAGCCAGAGAAATGGCAAGAGGCCGAAATGGCTAACTTTAAAGGGACTCTCGGATGGTGTCAGAGATTTATGAGAAGACATTCACTATGTGTTAGAGCCGTCACATCTGTTGGCCAACCACTTCCAGTCGATTGGGAGACAAAACAACAAAAATTCAAATGTTTTGCGGAAGAGAATAAAATTGGTATTAATTTGCAACATATCGGGAACATGGATGAGGTTCCCATGAGCTTCGACCTCCCGTCAAAGTTCACAGTTTATTGTGTTGGCACTGAATCTGTTAAGATTTCAACCACTGGTGCAGAGAAATGCAATTTTACGGTCGCTTTGTGTGTTACGGCCGATGCGGTTAAACTCAAACCATTTGTAATATTCAAACGCAAGACAATACCGAAAGGTGTATATCCTAAGGGAGTTATCGTTAGGGCAAATGAAAATGGTTGGATGACATCTGATATGATGATTGAATGGATGGATCAAGTGTGGAATCGGAGGAAGGGGTTGTTTTTCTGTGAACAATCACTACTCGTATGTGACTCCGCAACCGCTCACTTGACTAACGAAGTTAAAGATAAACTAAAGAAAACAAAGTTGGCTATCATTCCCGGAGGTCTGACTAAATTACTCCAGCCGTTGGATATTTCTGTCAACAAATCATTCAAAAGCAAAGTTCGCAAACTATGGGAGAATTAGATTGTTAGCGGATATCATGAATACACCAAAACTGGTCGCATGAAGAGGGCTTCGTATGAAAAGGTCTGTCAATGGGTTGACATTAGTTGGCGTGAAGGAACGTCTGATTGTGTGAAGAATGGTTTCAGGAAATCAGGGATTAATTATTATGAAGACAACATTGAGGTTGAACTGATGGAAACCGATTCTGAATCAACTGATACTGAAATACCGGACGAATTAATAGAAGTCATCGAAAGTTTTGATACTAATTCAGGCGATGAATTTGATGGGTTTTAAATCCTATTTGTATTTTCTATTAAATGATTTTCAATAAAAATTTTCATGAATTAAATATCAGATAATACGATACTGGCGTATAATGCGAACCCTAATTTCAAGCCAAATATTCACTTTTTAATCAGATAATGCGCGTACTATCTAACGATAATTAGGGTAATTTTCCAGTGAATTATTATCATAATAAGAAGGCATGGATGACGGGTGACATATGGTATGAAATAATATCGAAATTCAACAAAATGTTAGTCAAAGAAAATAGAAATATTCTTATGTTTGTCGACAACTTCAGTGGTCACAAACCTGGTCTCAAATTCTCAAACATTAAGTTTGCATTTATGCCACCAAATACAATATCATGTTTACAGCCATTAGATGCTGGGATTATAGACATTCAAATATAGGAGACAATTAATTGAACGACTTCTTGCTCTCATTGATGCCAATCAAGACATTGACAAAAGTATTTCCCTATTAGATGCGGTTTTTATGGTAAAAACTGTTGGAATAAAGTCACTGATCAATTGTTAATTGTTTTAAAAAGTGCGGTTTTATTATTGATACAAATCCAGTTTCAAATGAGATGACAACTACCATTGAACCGGTAGTTTCATGTGAATTGTGGCCACATTTACAACACTCATTGGGCGTCGAATATGATTTTAATGAATATGTCGAATGCGATGATGAGATATGTGTCTGTCCTGGGACTCGCCTAAAAGACCTAAAACCGAAAAGACATAAACTTGAATAAATAATTGACGAGTGGGCATTTGGCTTAATTTAGGTTATGGTAGATTAGGATAGGTTATGACACGTCTATTCTACTAATTAAATTATATATACGTCCACTGGTCAGTTAGGTATTTGAGTTTAGGTCTTTTCGGTTTTAGGTCTTTTGGGGTAGAACCGTCTGCGCTCTACCATCAGACACAACCACTCAATCGGAGTCAAGTGATCCCCCAATCAATCAAAATACAGATTCCGAA